GAGAGAGAGAGAGAGAGAGAGAGAGAGAGAGAGAGAGAGAGAGAGATTTTGGCTGTTTACTTCTCTGAGGGTTGTGAGACATAAGGTTCATGCTGGAATGTCAAAGGGTGCACAACAGCACGGGATAGTTGACCCTGTGGCATATCTGAGACACATGCCACATTCGTGGTGATTCCGGCTCAATTAGGAGGCCATTACCCGGCTTCGTCTGAGGAAATTTTAGAAAATTCAAGGAAATTTAGAAAAAATCATGAATGGGGCTAAGCTTAGAAAAGCTATGAGAAAAACCACAGATCTAGTTCTACAGGGGTTTTCAGCCCAAAGCCAACGACCCCGGCACTATCGAGCAGCCCAACCCTGAGCCTGCGCCAACCCCCACATCCTCGATACCTAGTCTGTACCAGGCCTCACACCCTCAACTGCTGGGTTACAGAGTGGTGCGACCCAACCCAGAACAATCCCCCACCTGCTAAGTTACAGAGCGAGGTCCTTAGACTCAAGAGGAACTGGTATTGGTCCTTAGACTCATGGAGAGCTGCATATGGTATTGGTCTTTAGACTCATAGGGAACCGGTACTGGTCCTTAGACTTAAGGGGAGTTGGTATTGGTCGTTAGAGTCATGCGGAACTACATATGGTATTGGGTCCTTAGACTCATGGGGGAACAAGTACTGGTCCTTGGACTCAAGGGGAACTGGTATTGGTCCTTAGACTCATGGAGAACTGCATATGGTATTGGTCTTTAGACTCATAGGCAACTGGTAGTGGTCCTTAGACTTAAGGGGAGCTGGTATTGGTCGTTAGAGTCATGGGGAACTAGTACCGAATCACATATGGTAGTAGTCCTTAGACTCATGGGAAACTGGTAGTGGTCCTTCGACTCATGGAGAACGAGTAGTGGTCCTTAAAACACCAGTACACCTGAGCCTGTCGGACTTGCACTACGCGGCAAGCTTTGCTGAACTGCCAACAGTGCACTTATTTTCTTTTTGGGCTGGCGCCGCCAGCCATTGTGGCCCGATAGCCCCAAGCCTCCAAAATTTTAGGACTGAGACATTTGTTTTCTCGAGTTGCCTGGGGCCGTGTACTGGCGGTTTAAAAATTCACAATTAACAAATTAATTTTCTTGTGTGGAAAGATTTATTTGAAAATCAAAACTCATGGGGAACTGGTGTTGGTCCTTAGACTCGTGGGGAATCTCAGGTGGCTTCTCCAAAGTGCGGCATCTGGTGAAAGTTTCTGTTTTTGGTTTAGGTTTATGACATCTGAAGCCTGACCAGCTTGTTTTACCATCTGTATGACCTAGTCCATCAGCGGTATGAGTTTCCTAATTTAGTAATTTATGACATTAGGGTCACTGTTTGACTAGACATTCAACAACTAAAGGAATATGTTTGCAGACATCTTTTTTTTGGTGCCTTCTTTCATGAACCCTAAGCCCTGCAACCTACACCATACACACGATACTGTTATGATCTGGCCAATTTCGAAGTGCAGATTCGTCAGAAAGTACAATCTGTCCAATTGCAAAAAGAAATGAATGAACTTGAGAGGAGAGAGAGGGAAAGAAGAAGAAGAAGATGAAAGAAAGAAGAAGAAGATGATGTACACCAGCAAAAACCAATGAGAATTCCATTCTTCTTCACCAAGCACTCTCCTCCGCCTTATGTCCTCCCCTCTTATTCAAACAAGAAATAATAATAATAATGTTGAATGGCTGAACCAGAATCGATGTCTGAATCCCTCGTCTACTGCAGGCATCACTTGAGGTCCACCATAGCCATGGCCACCCTTCGTCCTCGTCCTTCCATGGCCGCGGCTATGGCGGACAACCAGGGCACTGCCCTGCTGTGCAAAGGACAATACAAAGCAGCTATGGCTGCTCTAGCTCAGGCCGCCGTGCCTCTGCCTCAAAGCTTCTTGGTGTAGCTCTACCCCAACAGGGCCTTCCAGATGCAGTGCTCACCAAGGTGATGAAGATGGCATCCACCATAGCCAGGTAAGTACCTCTGGCGCTCCTCCCTCCTAGTCCTGGTCTTCTTCCTCCTCCTGTCCTTGCTCCTCCCCAGCAGCGCTGCTCCAGCCAGCGCTCCAACCAGTGTGTCGCCAAACTTGCACATCGATAATGAGGAGGAACACTTTGCTCCTCCTGGAGATATAGCGGCCTGCTTGCCTCTTGCCGAGTGACTTCCTAGGCTGCACGACCTCCAAGCAACCAGTACCTCCTCCCTTTCGGAGGGAAACATCATTGCAGACTCTGATATTGCCCGTACAGGCCCTAGACTCAGACTGGTTGGACTGGTACCCGCCTAGACCTAGCCTACAACTACTGGGCCTCTAATAATGCCAACTTTTGTCTTCTTCTACTCGGCCTCGAGTACCCGGCACATCTACCTCTACTTGGTGTGGTACCGGCCTACCTGCTACTTATGTTTTCCGCTGTCGCAGGCCTCTTTCCCTGCCTGTTTAGTGTTTTCCCCGCTGCGACCCTCAATGTCACGAGCACGGGTAAGTACCGGCCCTTCAGGCCTTCTGAACGAACAAGTGCCCTTGTGGGTCACACACACTCAAGCCGACAAGCACTCAGACAGGCATGCAGACCAGCAAGCACGCACACACACAGATTTAGGAAACTTAGCAACAGGCGGGAAACTCAGCAAGGCATACATCCCATGAGCAAAACTCAGAAATCAGCTGCGTGTCTCAGTCCGTGTTTGGCAGGTCATTACAACACCGTACATCCTAAACCCTGCACCCTGCACTGGAAGCATTGCACACTAAATCCTTCACCATGCACCATAAACGCTGCAAATACGGCACCCTGCACCATAAGTACTTCACCCTAAACCCTGCACCCTGCACCCTGCACTGTAAACAATGCACCCTAAGCCCTTGACCCTAAACCCTTGACCTTAAACCCCTTTCCCTAAACCCCTTACCGTAGGGCTGGAAAAACATAGGTCAGCCCCCCCCCCCCCAAAAAAAAAAAGAGGATAGGAAGAGGTCATGGTAGAGAGTATGAGCACATGAGTGCGGATGGTTTGGTGACCTCCTCCATGAACGCAAAACAACCCTTCCTCCCTTCCCCCCCCCCCCCCCCCCTAAGCAGAGTCAAAGTCAAAGTCAAAGTCAGAGTCAGAATAAAGAGGGGGGCTATCATCATGTTAGTTTGACTAACATCAGAATGACAGTGCGGCTGGTGCATGGCGACAGGTGTGAAGCTTACGTAAAGGAGGATGAGGCTTCGAGGGTGCAGCAGACTTTGCTGGTACGTGATAGTGGAAGTTCGTGGAACATCAAATGAAGATTGTAGATCTCTTCTTGTTTGGTTCAGTACAAGGAGTAGTGAAGCATATGCTATGATTTTTTCTGTTTTTTTTTTTATAAATATAAGTAGTGAAGCATGTAAAAGACAATGAGATCTGAGGGTGTTGGGACACGATCCCATTGCAGGGGTTTACACTCGAGAGATGCTGGCTGTTGATCTTCATTGTCCAGTACAGCCTCTATCTCCTAATTGGAGCAGGTGGGGCCTTGCGCCAAGAGACTGCACTGGTACGTGATGATGCAATGATGCAAGACGTGATTTTGAAATGCAAGGAACAAATGGTGTTGTAAATCTTTCTTGGCGTCTTGAGACTGGGAAAAACAAAGTTTACTATCGTGTGTGTGTGTGTGTGTGTGTTGTATTCGCTAAAGAATCCCACAAAAGCAGGGTAACTGTGACAGACCGTTTTCTCTGACTTCCACCAACTTATAAGGAGATTGAACCATGACAGTCTTCCCTCGATGAGTTTGACTGATGGATAAGGAATCACCACCAAAGTTAGCAACGCCCTTTAAAAAAGTTGTGTGTGTGTGTGTGTGTGTGTGTGTGTGTGTGTGTGTGTG